GGCGATGAAGGCTTCACGATTGCCTTCACGATTGGGCCTGTACGTGTGTCCGTGTGTCTGTTTGTGTGCGTCAGGCACGGTGATAGCCGAGCAGAGCGTAGAGTGGAGTGGAGTGCGCTGGGAGAGCTGACGAAAATGACGAGGCATGCTGGCGTCTAGCTAAGGTCAGACGGCGCGCCTGTCCACGGCGCGCGTGCACGTCAATACTGCCAGGTTCAGCCGTCCAGGCTGAGGCAGCTTGGACGCCCATTGAGCAGGGCAGTGGACACTTGTCCGCACGTACGGACAGGCAACGCTGACACACTGACTGACAGACGGTCGTGCGCACGCGCGTGCACAGTCCAAGGGGATAACTAGACCCTGGCCTGATCGACAGTTTTGCTCGCCTTGGCCTGGCTCGACTCGGCTGCCACCTCCGCCAATGGAGAGGCACTACCTCCGGCGCCGACAATGCAGCGAGCTCGAACTTCAGAGCCAGACCATACACACACACACACCGCTTCTTGAGCTGGGAATAGCGGGTCGCCCATTTGGCAGCCCACGTGTCGGCCGCTCGAGTCTTGGCCTGACGCATGACCGTCACGCCCGACGGCAGTGGCGGCGCCGACGGCGGCTGTGGCTGTGGCAGACCGTAAAATTCGGATCGATGCGGCCGACGCCGCCATTGCGCCAATTCAACAGTGGCGTTTGAATCGGGCGCCACTTTCCGCAATTGTCAACTGCCGAATTGCTCTCCGCCGGGACGCGTCGACGCGTGGCCAACATTCACTCACAAAAGTGACCGCATTGTCGCGGTTGTCATGGCTGTTGGGAACGCGGCGGTACGTTAGTTAAGCCGACAAGGATTACGTTTTGATGGATATGCATGTGGGCGTGTATGCGCGCAAAGCGCCGGAAACAGGCTCTTTAAAACTTGATTCTGTCGTCAAGGCAACCTGGAGAACGGTACTTATGAAGTGGGTTGGATTGGAACAGGTTGGAAGAAGAGATGCAGCGCTCGAGGGTAGAGGCACAGGGCGAGATTGAGGCTAGGCAGCGCAAATGATGTCTACAAATGGCGCTGTCGAAGGCCAGACAATGCAATGCCTTCGTCGAGGTCAGCATGCAAATGGCAAGACGAACAAGTTGTAAACACGAGGTCGCACTAAAGGGCATATGCACAATACGGTTGTTAAGGCGAGAAAGTGACTTCCGCTTCTCCTTTTTGCCAAAGAGCCCATGACATGACTGGTTGGTCAGTCTAAACATGACGACAACGACAACGACAACAGCAAACATCAACTCGTCTTCACATTGTGGTTGCAAGATGCGTCTCCTCGTCAAGCGACACAACAGCCGAGAGCAACGTCGTCTTGGGCTGCGATCTATTCGAATCAATTTTCAATTGCCTCACTTCGCGCAAATTGGGAGCTTGTTTGTAGCGACGCCAGCCGACACAAATGCCGAATCGACTTTTTTTCATTTTCCCCATCAAACAGCCGGCATTGGTCCATGACGTTGGTGCCGCCATTTGGGCACCAAGTTTAGATGAGTGACCTTTATTTGGTGTTAAAGTGGGTTGAGACATTTCCCCATGTCCTTACTTTACCGTCATGCTTTCTCTCAAAAAAGATAGGCGAATTAATGAAAACGTGGGGCATAACAAAAGCCTACTTTAATACGAATATAACAAAAGTACTCAAAGAAACCCTCACACTTTCTTCTATTATGCCATCTTTTAGAGAGAAATATGACCCCTTATCG